CACGGCCGCTGAGCCTGCGCGTCCGGAGCCTGTGCTCCGCAACGGGAGAGGCCGCAACAGTGAGAGGCCCATGTACCGCAAAAAAAAAAAACAAAAAACAAAAAAAACCCCAGCATTTTAGACACATTAATATAACCAAAAAGATTTTTTTTTTTTTACATCTCAGTAAGAGATGATCACAATATACTTGGCTCCTGCCTGCATTAGAATAGAGCACCTGAAGATCAGAGGTACCAAAGAAGTCCTACTGATAAAGTTAGCAATTTCCACTGAGGCCTTTCTACGCTTGGGAAGGCTCTCATCCTTGTGTTTTTGTTTTTTTTTTTTTTTAAACAGGATGGTTGACAGAGGAGAAAGAGGGAGAAGAATGTGACAGCCAAAAGTAACAAATGAGACTTCATTTGACCCAACTGCTAAGTACTTAGTTCTTCCTGATTTAATGACCATGATACACAAAACACGTTCATTTACCCAGCTAGCCAACAGCCAAATCGTTGGAAACACACTACGCGTACCAGGTGTCCAAGTGAGTGCTGAGCTTACAGAGGTGGCCCCTGCCCTTAAAACATTCTCTGGGGAGCAGGGCGTCCCTGTAAACATGCTTCTCCCCACAGCCCGGAGGCATACCACCATTCAACAGTCATGGACAGGTGGCTTGGTGGCTGCTTTGGGAAGTGTTTAACCTCTGAGGTTCCCATCCTGCCTCAGAAGTTCAGGAGGCAGAAACACACAAACCTATTTGGCCTCTAGGGTCTGCTTTCTCTGTAGCCCAGAAGGTTCTCAAAAACCTGAATAAGCACAGGTGACCTATACAAACACATGCAAGCACCGAAAAGCACGGTGCCAGAGCTGGTGCAGAATAATTGATCTGATAAGGGTAAAGTGATCACCTAATCCAACTCTTCATTTTATAACTGAAGCTCCAAAAAGCAAAATCACTTGCTTAGAACCACACAGTCGGAAAAAGAAGAGCCAGGACTACAACCCAGGTCTCCTCCTCTCAGCTGAGGGCTCCTTCCAGCAGGCCACACTGACCCAGTAAAAAGCAACACGTTGGCCACGCTCTAGCCTTCCTGCATGCTGAATAGCAGCAGTGGCTGGGTCCTGGGGGACTATTTAAACAGATGGGCTAAAGCAGCAATAACTGTAACAAGAGGACACAAGGACACGCAACGGGGCCGGATGCCACCTCAGCTGGAACTCAGAGTTATTCCTGCAACAGAATGGGACAACTTCTGAGGAAGCCGCCTCTTATCCCCTCCCCCACTGAACCCTGCTACTTGCCCACACTTGAATTTAAAGCATTTCCCAAGATCAAGGCTCAAAGGCAAGGGTATCAAGTGGGGGGGAGGGGTCTGAATGCCAGGATGACAGGAGATGACCCTTGTCACTCACGGGATACGAGGACTAAGCAAGCCAAACAGCTGACTAGGCCTCTGGCCCCTGCCTCCCTCTTTGCTCCAGCTGTAGCCTCTCAACACTGCTGCTGGTCAAAGCAGACCACCTCACCAGATAAGGGAAGGAGTCTGTCCAGACGGTAGCCTAGAGAGAAAAGCTATCCCACGCCTACCTCCCCTCCTTCCCTCTTCACCAGAGTTTGTGGCTCAGAGTCACTTACCTTTTTCTTCTTCTTCAGAATCACTTTCACTCCATCCACTGAAACCATAATGCTCACCTTCTTCTTCTTGATGTTTTTGGCTTTAAACTCATACTGCAAGTGAGAAGAGAACAAAGGGCACAATCCAGTTAGATCAGTGCATCTGCACAGCCCCAGAGAGCTCATGACCTGGAAAAGAGGGCCACAGATGGGTCTAGGGAGCTGACGCAGTTTCTGGGGACATGAAGCACCTCAGGGGATGTAAAAGCAGGTAGCTGTCTGTAGGCAGGGGCTCGGCAATATTTGGGCTGGAACAGGGGCTCTGAATGGTCACTGGTTTCACCACTCAGCTTTCAGGTAGGGCCATGGGAATGGACCTGATCCATTCTATCGAGATGAAAACAGAGCCTACTTTGAAAATCTCATGAGAAATCCAGAACCTTCCCTCAATAACTCATTCTGACATTTAATGACTTTCGTTGGCAGGCAACTTTTCCTCGTGTCTACCCAAATGCTGCTGGGACTCTATTCCATCCTCAATGAAGATTAGGAGGAGCTGGTACCCATCTTCAAATCAGGGATTTTGCATACTTAAAGATCATTATGATATCTAAGTTATTCTCTGCAAGTTCAAGTCCCAAATTCTTTTATCTGTAGGTCAGTCTCCAAATCTACCCATAGCCCCATTAACCTAAAATATTCTAGAGAGTACTCTAGAAAGGATCTGATTAATGACAGTTATAAAGGAGGGCATTACCTTACAAACCCTATATTCTAAATTTCTATTTGCAATCCTGAATAGGCCTGCTTCAACCACAACTACACTGCTGAGGGATGCTGGCTCTCATCCTCAATCCCAGATATTTTTCTATCACATTTGCTCACTCACAGCCATTTCTTAGGTTTGTGCAGATATTCAGAATGGTAGAAAAATTCTACACTTTCCTCACTGAACTTCATTCTGAGCGCTTACCCATTTTCATCTGGTCCCTGTCTTGGTATCACTACCTAACAAACTTACCTGCCACGCTCTCTAATCAAAGATCTGGCCTACAGATTAAAAAAATAACAGTACAAGACCCGGGGCCAAAATCTCTACTCCGACCTACAGGCTCTCTTCTCTGGGACCTTTTATACTCAAAACCCTTTCCCACCATGCCGCCACCCAAGCTTAGTAAGGCGTCCAGCTCCTTGCCTGGACACCTAAAACCTAACTATTTCTACTTGGTATTTTGACAGATATGAACCTAATCCACCCTAGCAAGATGAAAACATAACCTACTTTCAAAGTCTCACGAGAAATCCAGAACTCTCCCTTGGCCATGCCATTTAATACTCTGATTTTAAGAACTCAGATTAGAGCTTCTTACCGTGTCTGTATTCTAGCCCTTCCACTGAAGTCTCAGCTCATTTTCTTACTCTGTTGCAGAGTTACTGCTGATGCCCACTGGCTGTCAGCTTCTTAGAGACAAGGACATGACCTAGCTAACTGAGGTGAAACATTTTTCTTTACATCGTCAGGGCAGGTTCTGGTTTACTGCTGATCTGAGTTTCCAGGTGATGGCAACATACATCACTCCCCAGTCTGGTGGTCACTTCTCCCAGCCTCCCAATCACTCTATCCTGTCAACAGCTGTCCTTTTTTACCAGCGATCCTGAAAGAAGAGCAAACCGGAGCAGCAGACACGTAGGAGAAAGAGAAGAAAACTTCAGCTGACTCTGCTTCAGAGTCTGGGAACCCAAAGCCAATTAAGAGTAATACAATAAAAGAGAGCAAGTGTGTCTGACAGGATGGAGAGAAGTGCTATCTGTATTGGAGTCTGGCTTATTTATAAGAGGGCCTCGGCCACGTAACCAATTTCTCTCTAGGTCAACGGTCGTAAGCTGGTGAAGGCTAGAGTTGTGTGACTGGCATGCGCTTCAGGACACAGCTACAATTTGCAGTGTGTCCCCTGACTGCAGCATTCTGCTCAGGTGCACCACCTGATGAACTGAAATTACCTCTGGGTGGGAGACTAGCACGAGGATCTGTAAGTTGGCTGACTTTGGCCTTGTGCCTGCTGGGAGAGGTGAACCAGCTCCATTTCCTGATCTCACCTGCATTTACCTCTGCTCACAGCCTTTCAATGGACACAGTCTTTCAGCTGTGCCTCCCTTGGGGACAAATCACTAAAATCATAGCTGCTCCTGCCGGTCGAAGGAGGGCAGAGAGGTGTGTTTTGATGAACTCGGGGAGAGACAAGGGCTTAAGAGTCCAGGAAACACCCGGAGGTAGATAAAACCTGCCCTAGACAGGTCAATCCTTGCCTGTTTTATTGTCTTTGCTCTCTTCCAGCACGTCACTCTCACAAGCTCCACGTACTTCCTTCTTCCCTTTTTCCAGCAAAAAAGTCAAAGCAGTGAATACTAAGTACCTCTCTCTGCAGGGTAGGATGTCACCTCCCAGCCCTGGTTTCAGAGAGCATATTGCCTGCTAAACCAGACCCTTAAATGTCTTATATTTCCAGGAAAATCTTGTAGCTGGCCATCGCTCTTTCTTGTTTGGTCCACCACCCTACTGGTTTCATTCTCTCTGGGATCTTTTTAAAATCGGTATCCCCCCACCGAAGGCTCGCAAGAGACGCCCAACCAGCTCCTTGCTTGTGTATCTGAAACCTGAACTGTTTCTACAGTTCGTGTTTTGACAGCGTTGGCCATGCCTGTGATATCCTGATCTTAAGAACTCAAAATGCAGCTAAACATTCTCTTTTAGCTGGAACTGGAAAACAGCCTCTAATTCGATCACTGTGCACATACTCCCAGGTGGCTCTTCTGTGGTGTGTGGGGCACAGTAACTACTCATTACTGTGAGAAGCATGACCGAATGATTGCATTATAATCTCAGTGACAGTACAGGTGCTCCGCCTTACAACAGCTGGTGGAAGGCTCTCTGGAGTGCTTCAAAATGAAGAGGGCAGAAGAGCCATGAAACAGGCTTCTAGGCCCTGTTACAGCTGCCAGTATGTACTACCTGACTGCTGCTTGGAAGGCTCTTAGGTTCGACACACTTTGCACCTACTCCACCTGTCTGGTGGTCAGATGTCCCAAACCCTTTCCAACTGAAGAATAGGTACTCAAATGGTAGTTTTGTTGCAAACTAGGGAAATGAAATCAAGTGTCTGAAAAGGTTTAAACCTTTATTATCATAAAACCATTCATTTATATGGCAATTATATTTCACGTGGACAACCATGTTATTGTGCTTACTGTGGGGATGGAAAATGGATTTGGAACAGAGGAGATGTTGGGAGTGACTAGAACAGAGAAAAGAGACTCACGGGTACAAGCCCTCCTTTTTACCAGACTGTGCCGCTCGGAGGGGCAGGCGGGCCCAGGAGGAAGCATCTGTGTTCCTCAGGATAGGAATCTAGTCTGCCCAGGCTTTGCTAGGGGCTGAAGAACAAACAGGACTGCTGATGCCACCGTCTGTGGCCCAGGCCCACCTCCCACAAAGCCCATGCCAGCTCTGGAGTCTGTGCCAACAGGCCTGGCTCTTCCCCCAACGTGGCCAGGCTGACCTGATATATTTGCTTTGCTAGTCAGAGCCCCACCAGCAAGGACAGATTAAGCCTTACAGGACCTGACCTTGTAGGGAACAAAACAATACAAGCCCTGGAACACTAACCACTGATTAGAAAGACCAAATGTCTAGTGTTCATAAACAGAGCCTTGGGACCCTGCATGGGAATAGCAGCCCTGGAACTTAGAGTGCTGTGCCAACCAGTGAGGCCCATGAAGCGGAAACTGGGTAGAGGGAGGGGTTCAGATCCAGCAGGAGCCAGGAGTAAACACTCAACCAGAACACTGGCTGGAAGTCAGAGAGCTGCCAACAGAACAGGATATCTCTGATACCCCAATGCTTCCCTGTCCCCAACTCCCAGAACTACATCCTAATCTTGTGTGTCTCCAGTTTCAGCCACAGGGTGTCCAAGAAGGGGAAGCAGGAGGTCTGGAACAGGGGAGTGAGTTAATGAAGGGACTGGCCCAGCCCTGGGCTTGAGGCTGTACTGCAGAAATAGAAGTAACAGAATCAATTTCTTAGTAGTCAGGAAGGTTGGGGCTGTATACACACACGCACGTGCGCACGCACACACACACATGCACGCACACACACACACACACACACACACACACACCCTCTTAACAGTCTATTTTCACAATAATGTCTAGCTCCCTGAAGAATCTAGTTTTTTTTTAAAATAAGGATCCCTGGTTCCTCAATTACCTTGTCTACAAACAACTTACCGAGTGATTGCACTCTCACCAGCTATGTAGGAAGCTGGTCCTCTCACTCGTCTCCATAAAATTTCTTTTGCCTAGCTCCTTCCCACCGTCCCCACAATGCTTAGTTATGAATCAAGATGCTCAGAGGCTACTTTACCAAGAGAGGAGATTTAGTTTTGCAAACGCAGATAGTGATGCTCTTGCTTGGTAAGTCCTCGGCTTATAATCAGCTGTGTTCACCACCTTTCCAGAGTAAGTCTTTGGAGGCTTTGCTTCCGGTTCATGACCACAGGAAATTTAAAAGGGAATTCTACTAGTGCCACTGGGTATTTTAATCATATTCTGCCCACAGTCTTGTTTTCAAGAGTGCAAACACATCTCCACAACAAAACTGTAAGCACCTCAACCAAAGGCACTGTCTTATCAAGGGTTTGTAGGAAATCATTTTGCACTTAACATTTGAAAGCTTAACAGCTTAGGTAATAAGATACAAAATCTGAGTACGTCCATATTCAGAGCATATTCACAACAACCCAAAGGTGAGGCAACTCCAGTGTCCACTGATGGATGAACAGATAAACAAAATGTGTTAGAGACATATAATAGGATTTGCTCAGCCTTAAAATGGAGATTCTGACACGTGCTACAACATGGATGTAGCTTGAAGACATTATGTTAAGTGATGTTTATGTTAAGCTGGAACAAACAGACAAATATTGCATGATTCCACTTACATGAGGTACCTAAGAATAGTCAGATTCAGAGACAGAAAGTAGAATGGTGGTCTTCAGGGGCTCGGGGAGGGGAGAGGGTGAGGAGTTAGCATTTAATGAGTACAGATTTTCAGTTTT